GTTCCAACGCCCGCTGGAATTCTTTATCTTCCTCCGTCTCCTCACGGACGGGTTCTTCGATGGGACTCGCAGTGTTAGTCATAGCGAACTTCGAGGAGATACAAACTTGGGAAACGCAAGAAAGACAAATCCGGGATGGTAGCGAGTAACCATGTAACTTTATTGTTATCACCAATGCTGAGCGTTCATAAACTCGTCACTCGGCAGGCCCGTCTGGCGTTGGGCCGTCTGGCGTTGGGCCTGTTCCAGCTAAGGGCATTTCTCAATGCGATGGATGAGACTCCTACATGAGAGTTCACAATATGCACATCTACGAGCGCCATAGACAATTGATAATACATCCCTGGTGAAGGGATAGAACCACCGGGATTAGCTCCAGGTGACCGAAGGTACGCGTCTGTCGGCTTCCTCTAGAATGGCCTTCCTAACTGGTAGTACCTGCACGCAACTGTTGATGATCTACTCGGGGGCAGGAGTGGGCATCACCGATATAGTTAGATCAACTTTACTCGCTCGCTGGTTTACCCTGAACACTCTACCATACTATTGTTAAATGTCTGTTGATCAAAAACATACATTCATTTTATCACTCAAGTCTTGAGCGCCTTCACCATATATTTAATGCTAATGACGAGAGTTCCCACACCACTGCCGGCCTGCGAAGGAGAGGACCCATTAGCCTCGATATAACCGTCAAGTAAACGCTATAGCTCATCAGGGTTGTCGCCACTTGCGTGCTACATCCTCATCAAGGAATGCATTTGAATGAGGAGCAGAGAAAGGTATCGGATAGCAATCACCTGACTAGGTTACCATTATACATTACCACTAATATATATGTCCCTACCCTTCTGAACTTACGTAGTAGTGCAGAGCTCCGCGTCTTAATGATTGGGATAAATCCTCAATCCTTATCGACATCCTCTAAGAAAGCTTCCATGGCCTCTCAAGTTGATAGAATATCACTCGTAGTAGCAGACCGCAAGACAACTCGAAAGCAGTGTCCTGAATCACGACGCTGTGCATGTTCCATGAGACCACTTCTTTGTATCAGATACACTCAAAGTTCTTCGGCAGAGTGAGTGCGACTTTGACAAAATGATTGCCTCTTCTGTCTTACCCTCTAATCCGTTAGAGAGCTATCTGAACTCAGTGAATATTGGTAGTGATTCCTACGTAGGAATCGACGAGAGTGAAATCCTGGACGACAGAGGAACACAACGCACACAGAGAAGTACATAGAAGATACCTAAGTACTTCAATCGAGGCTAGACAGATCACATACAAAGAAGATGAGTGAATTATTATAAATCCTGTGGGGCATCATCAGGGTATGCTTTCTTCCTGCGATGGACGGTCTTGGACATCCGCCGCGGAGAAAGTTATGACCTTAGTGAGGAAGAGCTCGTGCGAGTTCTAGTGCGTACACTGTCACTTTAACTGTCAACCCCATTCTCACTTACTCCATAACTGTTTCTACTGGCTCTATTGGACCTACACCTACTTTTACTACTAGCCCCGTTCTCTCTGACGACATTAACTAGTACCATAACAATAGATAAGGTGTTAGATGAGCTATCGCTTAACTGCTCTTCCTCGGCTACTCAAGACGAATCATATGATGATGCCCCCACAGTTGTAACCACCAGGGTGTGGTGATGTTGATGATAATGATCATGATGATGACTGCTAAAGTCGATAATAATAACGGCATTGCTGACGATAGCGATGTTCATGATCATGATGATGATGCCAAAGCCGATAATAATAACGGCATTGATCATGATAGCGATGTTCATGATCATGATGATGACTGCTCAAGCCGATAATAATAACGGCATTGATGATGATAGCGATGTAACATCGCCGATGTTCATGATTATGATCAGGATGCCAAAGCTGATAATAATGACGGCATTGATGATGATAGTGGTATTTATGATCATAGCGATGATGATGATGATGATGATGATGATGATGATAATGATGATGATGGTGATGACGATGCAGCATCGTCGATGCTAGAGTCGATAATAATAACGGCATCGATGATGATAGTAACTAGGCCTTCGTGACGAAGGGCGGAGCTCACTTAGTCCACGTCTATCGATTCGATCAATGAATTTGACATAGGTCGCCGGTTCGATCCCTGGGTAGGACATTCCTCCGTCTTTAAAATTTTCCTGCATATCTCTTCGAGCTGTTCGAGTTTTCCCATTTTTCCCAAAAACCCTCTGCATATAGAGAAGTCGTTCGATCTATCTGATAGCCACCCACGCTTCGTAGTTAAGCCGGAATAATTCTGCACGCACGCACAACGCGAAAGTGCCTGTTGTTGCGGTATATGCTCCGCTCGCTTCGCTCGTTCCGCAATGTTTAGGATCATAACGATGATGATGATGCTAAAGCCGATAATAATGACGGCATTGATGATGATAGTGAAGATCTCGATGATAATACTCTGTGCTCACGTGGTGACGTAACGTCACTGACGTTTATAATCGTGAAGTTTCTAGCGATGACTATGACGATTCCAACAAATTATTGGCAACAATAACGATGACGATGCACTCAACGATGATGATGTCGATAATGATGATTAATAGGAGGACAGAGATCCTCGTGATGATAGTTGATATGAGCATTGTCGATGTTTAGCTCAGCGATAGGGTTTTTCTGCCGGGGGATGACGACTCACAATGGGGAGATAGGTGACGACAACACTACCCTGCTGATGTTGATAATAACTCGTCGACAGCACAGCATGAAGTACATGCGCTTACCACTAACATTGTTAGTCTAACAATGGGCCTGATGTGACACCTCACAAGAGAACTGTGGACGCTCTCAGTTCTTTGCTCGCCAAAGAGGAGAGAGGATGCTAAGTCTGTCGTATCCAGGACAGGCACGAAAATGATAAGAAGAGCAAGATTTTTTTTTCCCCCTTTTTTTTGGTTTGTTCTCATGGCCCGCAATCGTCCGCACCACTCTCGATCCGCAGTAAGCAATCAACGACGAAATGCCTTACGACGCCTTCGTCGTGATCGTACGCAAGATGCCCGTGAAAGACAAGGAGCCCTCTTCTTCAACACAGAGTCCCCTACTGATCTGCGTCAAACTCAACTTGATTACTATGCTTCCCTAGCTCGGATGAGTGAGCTTGACCGCCAAACAGACTGTATGGATCAACTAACCGATGGTTCGTCACGGGCCTCGCTATGCCATTGGTTCGCAAACTACCCATCTACATCCATACTTATGTTACGCCCCATACGAGATGCTCTCGATCACGAAGTTGACTCCCTGCTAGATGCAGATCCCTTCAATACTGCATTTACATCATGGTTGAATTCTGATCGAACGACTCAAGGTACCAACAAGGAGTTCCAGACCTTGCTGAAGGATAAGGTTCTCCCAGCTGCCTCTCGGCTTGCCTACCATTGGTCACAACTTCTCAGCTGCTCCACTGATACTGCTCCTGAGTCCCCCTTGCGTGCACAACTGATCAAAGCTCTTCTACGTGATCTTTCCGTGCCCGGTGAGCGTGAGGATACTCTCATTTGCGATGAGATTCAACATGGTTGCAATATTGGGGTGCGCTATCCTATCTCACCCTCGGGATTATGGCCACCGGATCAAGGCCCGAAACATACCGGTTTTTCTTTGGACCTCTGGTCGGCACAATCTTGGCAGAACTATCAGTCGTGCGAGAACCTTGCTAACCAAGTCCGAGAGGCTTTGGATTCAGAAGTGTCTCATTACCATATGCAACGACTTGACACTCCCCCAGCGGATTCTGTCCTTACAAAGCTAGCATGTGTGGTTAAACCGTCTGGTAAACTCCGCCTCATTGATGACCTTCGCAGATCGGGAGTCAACGAGCGTTTGAAGTGTACGGAGACTATTGCTCTGCCTGGACTTATGTCGGCTGCTTTGATGATACAGCATATGACTGCTATGCTGCGAGACACTTCCGATGACCTAGTCTGGATCGAGACCGATATTGCTGCAGCCTTCCGACATG